TGTAGATAACTTGATGAGCTATAATCCAACCATGACAAGAAAATGCAAAAATATTTTTTTTACTAAAATTTCGAAATGTCATCACCTTAATAATATCGAATATAACGAATAAATTTATTAGGATTTTTCATCTATTACTGGTGCTATTCAATGGATTCGTTTTTTTATTTACACGTATAAAACTTTCAATGATTAAATTTAATTCAATTGATCGATTACTTCAATCCGAACAAGATACAACTGCAAAACATTGATTATGGGAATAGGCATTGTACTTAAAGAATATGAAGAAGAACTCTATACAAAATGGCTTAATAATATCATTAAACATTTACCTATCTATCTTAAACAAAGTTTGCTTATTGATGATGAACAACAACCAGATCTATTTTTCGATTACTATTATATATAACAAAAAAAGACCTAAATCGTATATCAATATGAATTGATTCATCACGTTCAACAATATGTATTTGATCCAATTGGTACAAAAAAAAATTGAAATAAAATATTTAATAAATTATTATTCTAATTTAAAAGAATCATTAGTTGAATGTTATTATCTAGAAAAACTTGGATTTAATTTACCTGAATCAATTATACAAATAAAATTACAATATTCTAAATATGAACAATTATCAAATGAACTTCGTTCAATGCTTGAAGATTATCATTTAACTAAAGCATCATTTGATACTATTGAAGTATCACTTCTTCAATCTTATATCAATCATATTCAAATAATTATTAAACCAGGAACATCAAGAATATCATTTGGTGAAATTGGTAATCTTGATTACGTCAATGAATGTAAAAAACAATTAGAAAAATTTCATCAAATCTTCATGAACATCTTGAAAGTTTTCGTTTTTGTATCATTGATCCAATTGTTCCACGACATAATGATGGTATGTTATATATCTTTTTTAATATATCCTTAGAATTGAATCTTAATCAATTATTTCATTGTATCGAAGTAATGAAATAAATATCTCGTCAATTGAAACCTTCTATTTGCAAACAATTCTTTATAGTTTTAAAATGTGAATAAGAAAAAGATTCTATAATTGAAAAATTCTTCTAGAATGTATTCTTATTATTGTTTTATTCTGATAGAAGAGCATCGGAATCTGCCAATGTATATGGCCGATACTAAAAAAAAACATGATGTTATCATAGTCGTACTTCAGACCAAGAATAATCAATAGATCTCAAATTTTCACAATGAACTTTTCTAATTCAGATCTGTTTCTATATTAAGTTTCAAGTCTAAATTCGAAAGTCAGTGTTCCCTGTGGAGGATCACAAAATTGCTTATAAATATCATACAAATGCTGACAGGAATAAACTGGCAGCTAAAATCCATTTCAGGTTAACCGCAATTCATTAGAGCCTATATGATACACACAGTTGCGACTTAAGAGCGATTGAACAGTTGATTAATTTTCGTTGTTATATATTTTTGATGAGAAAAAGATTTTATTGTATATTTTAGCTGATTTCGTAATCTATATCAATTTTATGAAAACATTTTTGACTCTTCATCTCTTTTTACTACTGATGTTATACTTCCTCCTCCTCGTATTAAACTACAATCATCACTTGAAGAAATTATTAATTCTAATAGAATTCTACCGTTTTTTAGATCTTGAAAATATCTTGGAGTTCCTCGGAATCATATGGAACCCAGGAATCCCGGAATCTGTTATTTCCCCTGTGTCCACACCCACATTCTATTAGGACTGTGCTTTCACTCAATATAGAGAAATGAGTGATACATCACGAAGATGAAGACAAACGCTTGAATACAAATAGTTCTGACATTGACTGCATTATTCTATAATCGTTTTGGTTTGTACAACGCTCTATGTGAATAAAACAAAGATGTTGTGACGAATTATGACGGCATAGATAGTAGGCTTTAGTACCGTCTCGTTTTTCAAGTTTGCTTCATCGTTATATATAGATAAACGCGTAAAAGGTTTCAATATCTTAACTAATATAAGGTTGATCTAGCCAAATAATATCAGATTCGAATTTGATCCATCCTTGAAATTCTAATTCTGGTGAGGCTCAGCTTAATAGTGTCCATTTCTGGTGAGGCTCAAGCCTATCAAGCCTATACTTTCCGCCGCCTATGAACACAACATATAAATAAATATATTAGAAGTTCGAATCTTCGCACTGAAATAATATTCATTTGATAAGTCTAAACCATCGTGCAAAAAAATATCGTATTCATAATTTGGGTAAGGCTGAGCCTCCAGACACCAAATTCTGGTGAGGCTCATGCCTCACCCAGCCTCCAGCTTCCGCCGCCTATGATTTCTTTGCAATATTCAACTAAACCAATCGCTTAATTAATATCGTCGTATCGATAAACACAACAAAAAAACAAGAATAGAAAAAAAAGAACAGAAAAATGTGAATCATGAAACCCCATATGATTATGACGAGAAGAAGAAAATAAAATAATACTGCACTGCATTCGTATCCTTTCTTTTTCTTTTCTTTCCATTTCATGAGTAACACTTTATAGGTCATCCGGTCAACCATCATCATCATCAAAAGTAATTAAAGCAGCAGGTAAAGAAGATCAACTAGGTGATATTTTGAATTTAACTCAAGTAAGCATTATCTATTTCTCACGTTATTTATTAAAAACTCTATTTATTTTTGTTACAGCGGACTTTTAACATATCCAATATTCCGACTTGGTTAACAATTGATGAAATTAAACAAGCATTTAGTCAATATAATATTAAAGAAATTATAGTACCAACGGATAATCTAGATCGTCAATTTGGCACCGCCTTTATTGTTTTTGCCAATATTCAAGCTGTTACTGAATTTCTAGAAAATATATCCGGTGAAAATAAATATTTATACTCATCGTAAGTAATTTTTTTTCGATTTTTGAGAGAATAAAATTCGAAATATTAATTTATCTAATAAGTCTTATTTAAAAGAATTTCTTAAACAGTCATTTCGAATTTTTTACACATAAACGAATAACCATAAAGAAGCTTTTTTCGAAAAATTTTACTTTTATTTATTTTCATTGTAAAATAACTTTCTGCTAAACGAATTCTTCCATTGTTCTTCAATAAAAAGTTCTTAAAGAGATAATGTCTCGCATATTTATCCAAAGCAAATCGAAGACATCGATCGATGGGTAGACAAACAAATGAAGCGAAAGAATACTCAGTCTTCACAGTCCATAGACTTGAGTACACTTCATTCTCCTATGCACATATCAAATCTATTTTTCATATGAGAACAGTGATGAATGTTCACGATTTTAATATCATGATAACCAGAATAATTGTATTAATCATAGGAAAGTTCTTCTTTGTTTATGAACTGAAAAAGAATTCTTTTTCAGAACCGAAATCTGGAGCAAGAATCATATAAGCAATATTTATAAATTTCTTTTTTCTGTAATAGCCAAATAGTCTGTAAATATAATTATTTTTTGGTCACAAAAGCTTGTCCAAAGAACGTCCGAATATATCTTAAGTCACAGAGAACATACTTTGTTACTTTTTTATAGCATTTAATTTTGACCTTTTCGATTATTTGCTACAACATTTTAAACGAATCAGATTTGATTGATTGCAGTCATGTATGTTTTCTGAATAGTAGTCGGAATTAAAAAGTGAAAAGTTGCTGAAAACAATTAATAAATATGAATCCAGTAAAAATTTCTGACATAAAAGTCAAAGACATTAAAACTAGATACTTTAAAGAAATTAATAAGTTTTCATTTTACTAGTACAATAATTAGTGCTCTCGATGGTTTTCGTACGTGGTAGAGGACTAAATTATTTTTCACAGATATTATCGAAAATTTTTCGCAGACTTAGTTGAAAGATTAAATGGTGATGAGGCAAGAGGTAGGAAATTCTTTGCAGCAGATACTGTATAAAACGTTTTTCAATGTCAAAGCTACATAAAACCTTTCATGTTTGAAATTAGAATCTAATTTCATGTTAAACATGGATTTCGATAAATCTTACTTATAAAAAATAGAATTAAAGGAAATATAAACAGTGAGATCTTGTCCCAAGTTGCGAAGAGTTAAATTGTGTTTACATCTATTGAAAAATTTTCCTCGTATTCCATCCAAAGATGTTTCGTAATATTATTACTGCTGAAGATGACTATGACTGTGACTAATAGTCATTGGAAGAGTTCAGCACTTCCAAAAACTACCCGAAATCAGAGCCATGAAAATGAAAAAAAGGAGCGATTCCGGTTCGATTCCCAAAATTTCACACGGAACTGAAACCATTAAATTATCAGAAAGATTACAAAATTTTAAATCCGTTTCGACAAATTTTTTCTATTGAATTGTTCATATGAAAAGCAGGGCAGATTTCAGTACCTTAAACTAAAACAATATCATGCATATTAAATGTAAAATACAATCTCAAGAATAAAAAATAAAGTTTTCTCGACATAGGCTTAAGAATTTTTCTATCTATCTGATAATTGAATCACTTCAAAGTGTTTTTTGTCATGGTTCCGGGGGCAATTGTACTCTCGGTTTCATTTTCTTTGGAACTCCAGAATTCTAATCGTTAGTAAAAGGTTTTTTAAGTTTAATTTGAAAGATTCTAGATGACTACGATTTGGTTTCATAAAAAGAGAACAGAGGCTGCCTATACAAGTGGTAAAGTTTACTGAAGACTTTCTTTAGCTTTAATGAAGGTTTCAGTTTGTCTGTGAAGTTTGATTGATGCCGTAGATTGGCTATCAAATTAGAGAGGTTTACATTGTCTCATAGATGTGGTGAAACCAGAGACTGTCTATCGAATGTGTCAGAAGCCAAAGATAATTGCCTAAAAAATTTAGCGGACACAACGAAAATTGAAAGGATATGGCTCGCGTCTTCCACACTGAGAGCTGTGACAATGACGAAAAATAGATTCTTATATTTTTAACAATGTCTAATGAGTAAAATTTAATATTTATACGTTTTGTTTGAATGCGACCATCTAGCGATGAAACATATTGTATTGTAACTGAAAAAAAATTGAATGAGTATTGATGAATTTAAAGCTCTCATGACCAAACCAACTAATTCAGAATATATGCTCTGTCCTTGATATATACAGGCCTTGCCAATATTTAATATAAATTTAGTTCATATTCGACATCCAGAATTCAAAACTTGAGAACATGTTTTTTTTTCTTTTGTCGTGTTGACTCGATAGAGCTCGTTGAGTTGTGTAAAGAGATGTATCAAATTTAACACTTTGATTTTACAAAACAGGTTCAACATGTTACTATTTCAAATATGGCGGTAAATGAACCAAAAATTTTTGCTTTAGTAAAACTCTTCTTAGAAACATTCATTTTAATAGAAGTCGATTTCTATCGAACCCATATGACAAAAGAAAAAAAGTATTGTGATAAGATTTTGAATTGTAAACACCATACATGTAGTAATTATTCAATAAAATTGGATATTTCAGTCTCGATCAGTGCATTTCAAAGGGAGCCTATATTTAAAAATTGTTGGTTTGGTGGTAAGATCCTTAATTTGATCTCTATACATTTAGCCTTTGTGTTTTACTTTTAATAGAATACCTTCCATATATAATAGAAGTACGATCTAAGTATTACAAGAGAAAATATTTAAAGAAAAAAAATATGTCATTCTCTTCTCTACATGAATATAATATCGTGTAGCATTTATTCGAAACTTAAAAGCTTTTTAATTAATTTCTAGATTAAAATATTGTATCAACTGTTGATAGAAATTTTTATGAACTTTCATTTTTTTTTTTTCTATTTTTTTCACTTCAGATTATTATATTGGCCCATTAGATGTTATTCAAGTTCCAGCTGTATATTCAAAAAAATAGGCGAACATTATAAGTAATTATTAATTATGTATATGACTCATCTTGAAAAAAAGATTTTTGATAGTATGAGGAAGAATTTCTGTTGGATTTTTTCGCCAATACTTAGCACCGTTAACATCGGAATCTCAATTGAGACTGGAACCCACAAAATAATTCTAAAAAAAACGGATCATTTTTTTTTCTTCACATAAATTTTGTTGGATTTGAAATACGCTAAAAATATTCAAAAGAATTTTTCGAAATAAATTTGTCTATAGGAATAAAGTCTTAGAAAACCTATGAATTTATCGATTTAGGAAAGAGTTTGCATAATCCAGTCAGATTATAGTATAAATAAAATTCATTTTAATGTTCTCTCAAGATTTGTTTTTGTTACTATCACATCGGCGAGTCTGCTCGAAAATTCTAGGAAAATAATTCTACATCATATGCTATCGATTATAATATTTAGATAAGACATTTAGATTTTAATTTCATTAGTATTTATAACAAATAAATACACTTTAATATCATAATTATACAAGAAGAATGTAGCTAAATGCTCCTTTGATTTAAAAAATCACTTTTCTGACATTCCTGCTCATCTATAAATAAATAGTGTAAACGACCAGTAAAAATCTTTTGTTTTTAATTTCATTAATTATTCGATGTTTCCATGTATGTAAAATGAACAAAATATACCGAAAATATTTAGTAAATAGTAAAAACAATTGGGTCCTATTTAAATGATCAGTATTTTATTATGAATGATCAGTATTTTTTTTATCAAATGATCAGTATTTTTTGATCAGTAAACATATGGTTTTTGCGCAGTAAATAATTTCGAATGTCTGTAATTAAATCAAAATATGATCAGTAAAAATATTAGTTTTGGTTAGTAAATAATTTTTTTTTGATCAGTTAATTTTCAATTTATATCAGTGAAAAATAGTACAATTACAAGTAACAAAATTTTATTGAATAAACAATGCTTTTTTAGCTTTTGAAGGTCGACCTCTACGTCTTTTTTCTTCAATTTTAATGTTTTTTGCAGCAGGTGGTGGCTTACAATAATTTAATCTTATTGCCAATCCAACGATATGTTTGCACATAAACTTTTTGAAAAATTCAGCACAATTACATTGACCATCTAACCCTTTTGCTTCATCCATTGGTAATGTAACATGCCAGATATTAAATGCTTTAGCTTTATACTGGTCAAACGAATACCATTTCATTTTTTTCATAGCATCAATTTCACTTTTCGAAATATTTAATTCTTGTCCAGCAGGTATGTAAAATTCAATTTCATTTTCTAGTTTTGTCGATACAATTGACTTGTTTAACTTGACCCATTGATAACTATTTGTCCATATATCTAATGTCACCATTTGCTTATCATGAAATTGTTTGAGACCTCGTTCATACGATTTCGACCATTTTTCAACAATTTCTAATGTTAAGATTTTAAATCTGGATAATGGAAGACGTTCACGAAATGTATTTTCATCCTTAATAACTCTGTTGTTTGATTCCAAACCATTATTTGTGCTTGGAGTTAAATGTTTAATGCCTTCATACCAACCATTATGTGAATATAACCATTCATTTTGAAAATATTCGATAAACTTTGGTTCTTTCTTGTTCCATTTTTTGATAAAAAGATTGGAAGCTTTCGTAAATATTCGTTCACATTGTGCTAGTTGTAACGCTTCAATATCTTCTATCAAATCTTTTTGTTCCGTCTTGTCTACCATAGATTCAATCTTCTTTACCACCTTCCGCCGCATATGAGCCCAACACATAACCGTGGGTTTTTCTCCAAAAGTTGCTTGAAATCCATTACGAATTGCATCTGAACCATCTGCAATCAAAACATCTGGATTAATTTCTTGTAAATCAAGTTTCTTTACACCATCTTGAAGAGCATGAAAAACAAATGTGAAATCTTTCGATTTCTCATTGGAACAAACAGCAATGCCAAATGAATGAAATTGTCGATCTAAATCAGTAGTGCCAACAATAAGAACAGGAAATCCCTGCCACACCAGCTTATAAGTGGCATCAGCATGAATTTTCTTCGATGTAGAGGCAATACGTAAAAGTCTTTTTGTCGAAACAAAAAAACGAAATTTATTTCCATCATCATATTCGTCATCATCCACATTTTCATCGTCGTCACCATCATAAATAATTTCATAAGATACAACAAAACCTACATCATCTGATTCTGGAATTGATCTGCTCGATTCCATACACCATTGTTCAATTTCGCCAAGACTTATTGCTGTTGAACCGAATCTTTTTGTCTTCAATGTTCTTAAGTAATTATTCAATTGACTTATACTTGGTGCAACAATTCCACGATCATATAATGCTTCGATAATAGCTTTAGGCTTCAATTTCAATTCATACAATTCTTTAATAACCACTTTCACGGCATCTGGTATTCTTGTACATTTTTGTTGTATAAGATCATGAGTATGTTCAGATGTGTCGCGGAATAAGACAACTTCTTCATTATACGAATTAAACAACAAATAAATACCAGCATCACATTGTTTTCCACGACGTTTAACCTGGTTGCATCGAAAAACTTTCTTTTTCCCATCAGCTGTTGTATTAGTATAATATGCACTCCATTGTCTTTCATTAATTACCGCTTGTTCAGCTTCATCAGCATTCTTAAACACGATTTCTTTCATCCATGTATGTTGCGTCTTTTTTGCTCGTTTCTTACGTTCAACTTGAACACTTGCATTCATATCGTCTTCTTCGTCAGAAATGTAAGGTGGTACTTCAATGACTTCCATCGCTATTGCCATTTAAAAGCCAGTTAGTTACAATGATATATATGAATTCGATTCATAAAATGAAGTATTTATATATGACTAAGTAGAAATACGATCGAGGGAAGACATCATGAATCTACTAGTTCTTTGTTAAATTAAAATAACAATCGCTGAAGATTATATATTCATCTAGTACTGTAAGATATAGAATAGATGTGATCATATTCACAAACTAGGTCAGAAAGAAACAAAGACGATAAGTAGGTCAACATATATGTGATAATCAATGCGTGTTACAGAACGGTGAATACTGATAAAGATGCAACGATTCACTGACCAAACATATTTATTTACTGATATTTTAGTTTAGATACTGATAAGTTCATTATTTTGCTGATAAAATGATTAAATTACTGACCAAATTCAATAGTCACTGATCATCAATTATTTTACTGACAATTTAATTTTTTTACTGATCATTTGCATTTAATACTGATCAAATTTTACTGATCATTCATAATAAAATACTGACCATTTAATTTGTACCCAAAACAATTATACAATACTAGCTATTAGATTTTTGACCCATGACTCAACATCCCCATGTTCTCATTATTAGAAAAGTTATGGTGAAAATTTATCCTCACTCAAGAAAAATAAGCAAAATATTCCTTCCAATAAGAATCTTTAATTTTACATTTGAACGATGCTTCATATGAGAAGATTATAAAAAGAAAAACCGTTAATGAAAAGTCATTTGCAATATATCCATAGTATTATTTTACTATTGCCATGAGAAATTGGAATTAAGTAGAAAATAATTCTTATATCTCTAACATTACGTTCGATTTATTGAAAGCTAATTAGTAAATTTAAATATTTTCTAGACCGATTATGACAAATTCAACGAATGTTGATCATGAATTAGCAATAACAATTGGTAAATTACATATGAATACAAAAAAAAAATGTAAAACTGAACTTGAAAATCAAATGGATGCTATTCGTGCCGAAGAAAAACGGAAGGATGAAGAAGGTAAAACCAGCATGCATTAAGGTCAATTTATTCAACCGTTTCTTTATCCTTTAGCATTAGCTGCACTTAAAGAAACTGCAGCAGCAGCAACAACAGCAGCAACAACAGCAACAACAGCAGCAACAGCAGCACAGCAAGAAGTAGAAAAGAAAATGAATGAAATGAAAAGAAAATATAGTTCTAAATAATAAAAAAAGATATGTCATGTTTAGAAAAAAAGCATTTTGTATTATTAAATACTCGAAAATGGAATTCTCACTTGTTTTCTGGATTCCTCTTTAAAAAAGATTTACTTAAATAAAAAAAAAACTTTTCGAAAGCTCGAAGACATCATATTTTGCATTGAATTACTTGTTCTATCACATGTCTCTAATCAAAAGACATGTTTATTTTCGGATTCTGGATGCTTAACATATAGATTCGAATTCTTTGATAATGATCGAGAATTTTTAAAATATTGTAAGATTATGTTTTCTTCAGATTATTGTTCAAAATAATTTTTTCTATTTAAATTTCTATTTCGACTTAATGTTAGTTATGATTATGAAAAGAAAATGAAATTATATCTGTATGATTAATATTTGAGTATCTATGAGACAAAAGAAATGTAATTGTATTATACATCAATCTCTTCGTACTGATGATACAAAAAAACATTAAATAAATAAATAAAATTTCAATTGATAAATATTTATTATAAACTAACCTTATTTGAAAGTAATCGAAATATTTTTCATATTTCGATAGTTGTCTTAAACTATTATTTGATGATAATTATGTACATAATGATTCAATAGATATTAAAAGTTTGTTATTTAAATCTATTAAACGATCAAATATAATTCCATAACATTGACTATTTTACTTGTTTTTTCTAGGTTGACATATATTCGATAATTTATATGTAGAATATTTATGTTCATTTATTATGATGATTCAACTGTTTTTTTTTCTCTTCATTAAATAAATCAATATTAAAATCATTTGTTCATGTTAATATATGAATAAGTATTGTATGAATTCTAATCTATGTAATAAAACAAAAATGTTGTGACACAGATATTAACTAATTGTTGAATGATAAATTTAATGTTTATTAATAATTGAAGATGAAGAAAAGAATAATACTTAGAGTGACGGACTAGATGAAGGTGAGAGCTAATTCGGTGCTAGTACAATTCATTGTATAACAATTTATTATATGACAATTCCTCACATGGACAATTCGTTGTAATGACATAATTTAATCATAGTTTATGTCACTTATCAACAATGAAGTGACTTATTTTATTCAGTTTGAAATATGTAATCGAATGATTATTAAAATTATTGAAAATATTAATAATGACTAAACTGTGATTTTTTATCTCTAGCAGTACGAGAATCTTCTTGTTCGAATAAAAAGCTAGTTTACTCGAGTTATAAAAGTGATGAAAGTCTTCCTATACTAATAAAGGTGACACAGTACTTTTCTTTTAATTCGCACTGCAGCTCAAGGCTTTTGATAATTGAAAAATACTTCAAAAGAACAAGCGAAGTTTAGCGTTCATTGAAGAAAAGCATTTTTGATATCATCAGAAAAAAAAACAACTTTTAATGAATTCATGTTTTTAAATCCTCCAATTCAATGTACACATTCTATTAGTTAAAGGATTATCACCTGTTCTCTATACATTTAAAGCTTAACCAGTCGAATTCAGTCAATGATTTACACAATGCTACAAATAATTTTGATAATACTTTGTGACCGAAGATGTTTTACATCCTATTGACATTAATCATGGAGTCATAAACGGATCAATTTTTTCTCTCTCTCGTATTCTGTCTAGTGACCCATCCCCAGATAAAAATCGAAGTTTAGTCATTATTAATATTTCCAATAATTTTAATAATCATTTGATTATATATTTCAAACTTAATAGAATAAGTCACTTCATTGTTAAAAAGCATACATAAACTATGATTGAATAGTGCCATTGCAACGAATCGTCTGGTCATTTGCATGTGTAGTGTTGGCACCATCATGATAAATTGCTGCCAACATATTCGAAAATAATCACCTATGTGGAATGCTTTGCGTTAAATAGAATACATTGTCAGTTTCACATAACTGATTGATGTATGCTGTCGAAAATCAATTAATGATATGACTGCTTTAAAATTATTGTTTACAATAGTCAATTGAATATTGTTGAGAAATTGACGTTGTTCGTCTATTTCAAACATATCATTCATCATTGATTTCATATCAACATAGATGATCTTTCCACTTTTTCATTTGTTTAACATGCCGAGAATAGAACTGGATAGTTCAAAAGAATGATGTCATTCTTCAAAAATCGGACCAATCCTAGGATCATGCTTTTTGAGAAACGAGTTGGCGCTTTTCCCATTTTGTTATACCCCCCGCTAACTTATTTTGTTTTAGTATTTTTTTTGTTGTGGGTGGTATGATGATATGAAAGCGCTTTGTCAGACCATGGACATTTGTAGTTCCACTAAGAAAAACAATAAGGATCATTTCTATAGAAAATAACGGAAAATGATTAGTATTTCGACGTTTAAGTTATAGAAGCCCGCTCTATGTGTCGGATAAGCACTATACCCGGAATCAGTATTTAAAAAAACACTAAGAAATGTATTTTCCATTGTAAAATCTTTATCATATAAATGTTGTCCTTGGAGAATGAAAGGGAAAAGTTTAAAGAATAAAAAGTTGAAGCAGTAGCACTAATTTGGATGGTAAGTATTTCAAAATGGGAAATAGAGTTTTTGGTGTATTTTTTAATGGAGATCCCGGATATCGTGCTTATCTTTCACATAGACCGAGTTTCTATAAATTAAACCTCGAAATACTAATCATTTTCCGCTATTTTCTATAGAAATAATCCTTATTGTTTTTCTTGGTGGAACTACAAATGTCTAAGCTCTGACATAGTGCTTTCATATCACCACACCACACAAAAAAAATGCTAAAACAAAACAAAAAAGTAAGCGGACAGGGGCATAAACGCTAATTCCTTTCCGAAGTGAGCTCATCTTAAAAAATATAATGACTAAGACTACGTCTGCTGCAATGGTAGAACAAATAGTCAGGAAAAATTATCAAAAACATCATTACTAAAACTAGTTCTAGTGTAGTAAGAAGACTCAAGAGTGAACGGAAATTATCAAAGATATCATGACTAAAGCTGCTTCGATAGTTCAGTCGAAAAACGGTAAATGAGTAAAAGTGTCAAATATAATATGTGTAATATAACATGTATTTAGATCTAACCAAAAGTTCTGTCAACATTAAATAAAAATATAAAGATAAGGAGATAATTTTAATTTTGTTTTATCAAATGTTGAAGATAGTTGCCATGATTATTTATATCAAGTTCACTTCTTTCTAACAATTTCTTGAAAGTTTTTTTTAACTTTTGTTTAGAAAAAAATTTTAGTTTCCTTGGAAACTGCATGTGCACATAATATTTTATTTTTTTTATCAATTAAACTTTGTTCGATAGGTTTACTTCACCAAAGATTAGGTATGTTGAATATGGCTGCTGCGACATTATATTGATGGTTTCTTCTGTCAAATAATTAATAACATCAGATGAATATGAAGTCAATGATGATCGTCAAGCAGTTTAGTACATTTTGCGTTCAGTCTCTTTTTGTGTTCATATTACATTTACAAAAGGCTTCATATAATTTTCAATATAATACTTGTAACCTACTACCATGCTTTTATCTACACTCAGGGCTATTTGATTTAAAGCATATGTCAAACAAAGTTTGTGTTTAAACGTGTCCCCATGAACAATAGTCTTTGACGATTCATCCTCAATAAGCCAGCTAGCATCAGATGACTTATGATTAACCTATATAAAATAAATCTATTCTTTGTCACTAGTACTACTAGAATGCAACTTACAAGATCTAACAAAACTTCGCTAAAATATTAAAACAAATGAAACATGATTAGCTCATGGGGTTTCCAAGGTAGCTAAATTTTTTTTCTAAAAAAAAGTTCAAAAAAACTTTCAAGAAATTGTTAGAAAGAAGTGAACTTGATATAAATAATCATAGCAAACTATCCTCAAAATTTGATAAAACAAAATTAAAAATATTTCCTTATCTTTATATTTTTATTTAATGTTCACAGAACTTTTGGTTAGATCTAAGTACCTCAATTGAGATATTCAAAATAACGAGAAGCATCGAAAAGATTATAGTAAATAAACATTTATAGTACGATATTTTTGTTGTAATACTTTTTATAATAAAATTAATTTGTTAAATATTAACTTGATATGCACTTATTAAAAGAAAATGCTACACTCGACTTTTTCTCTATAAACACATAGATTCGAATACACTTTCTTTTTTTTACTATAGAAATATTTATTATGCAGATTGAAGTATAACTTTTACGTTATCCTTCATTATTGGCAGAAATATACTTTTTCATTAGTTTTTAAAATTTTCTTATGCAATAATGAAATATAGCAATATAATCAATTGAGTCATCGTACATTCAACTTTACAGGATGTGAGTGAAGAAAATATTCACATCCACAACCGTCTCTTCTTGTATGCATATGCATGCATGAGATTTCTGTATCGACTCAGACAATAATTTGTTCTGTGAGTGAAACTGACAGTAATTCTTTATTTCAATCAAATCATATTCAATGTAAACAACAAAAAGCTAATAAACGAGATGAATTTATTTTGAAACGCATTATTCTTCTTCTTCTATTTTTACTCCTAATTAACGTACCTACTCTAACCATTTTTGTAATGTATACAATTACCAATTACTTGATAGCATGGACTTATTCTATGCAATCCGTACAAATCTCAATTGGACTTATGATTACACCAAAAATGAAAAATATATTTAAATGAACTCAACAAATTCTTTCCATTTTAACAATAAGAACCAGTCAACAATTTATTATTGAAACCATTCGACTACGAGAAGATTAGTGGTTCCGGACAAAAAATACTTGTGTAGACATATTTTGTATCATGCAAAAATTCAATTTCAAAGGTTTATTCAGAAATAAAATCAAGGCTTATTTAATGATATTCAAGTATTTTTCAACTCATTCATTGTTTTCCATAGAGTATTGAGTTAAATAAATATTTATTAATAAAGCTCTTCACAGAGTGATAGTTTCATCAACTACTCTGCTGTCGAAAATGCAACGAAAATAAAACAACATGCTTTGTCTTGCTTCACTGGATCAGCCAGAGAATACTGAAAAAATGATACATTGTCTTGATTGCATTTTTCAATCGAGTTCAAAAACTGTACCTTCAAGGCGCCGACACATTTGTTGAATCACTATTTTCAAGATGAAATCTTTGGTTTTTCTTTTCTAATAAAAAGAACGAGAATAAGAAATGCAAATATAATTTTACATTGATCATTTTCATTGAATATCAATTGGTATGGCTTTTACAGTTTATTTTCGATTTTTGACATTGACAAACTCAAAAAAAAAATGCTTTTTTTGAAGATGAAAATTTGATGTTTAAACTTGCAGAAAATAAGAACTTGATCTTGCTCTGTGAATATCTCTGCGATATAATTTATAAAAATAAACCAACAAAGAAAAATCATACTATCAATTAAATATTTTTCTTATGAATTCTTTTAGTGTTACATTCAATAAGCTTCTTTTACAAAGTCTTATGAATAAAAAAAATATCTACACAAAAGATGAACGCTTTTGTTAAATTGTGAACATCACTTTCCTAAAATAACACATTCATTTTTTGAAATAGCTTTCACCATGCAAAAGTTTTTATCTAAATGAAAAATATGGTCGAATGATTTTGTGTAGAATCATTTTTGCAGTGAATGTTGTCTTATTCTATCATATCCATTCAAAATCAAATTTTTGACATTCTAAATAAGAGCTCAATCTATTCAAAACTCGAACTCAGACATTATCAGATTAGAGATGTATTCATACCACTTTGTCCGAGGTTTATAATGTCTTTTCAATTATGAAAATAAACATACTTGAATTGTGGCTTTATTTCTCGAAGGTAATGATGTAAGCAAGTTAGGCTAGAAGAACTTAGCTTCCTACAGCACACAGAAGCCTTTAGCGCGCCATCATGCGAAGTTATAATAGCTAAATTCTACTTTGAGTCTTGCCTATCGGACAGAATCCAACTAGCTTTAAAGTAATTATTTCATCATATGTTTAATTCTATTGAAAATAATGGCAATAAAAAGACGGTTTTGTAACATTGAGTAGTAAAAATATGAAGCGCATTATAAAATATAAGGGTAGATTATACTTTTTTTATTATACACTTTCAAACATCATGATTCAAAGGTTTTCTTCTACAGCTCTACATACACTAATAGCTTCGAATAGCTGATTGTAGACATCTATTATTAAACAGTTTCAAAGAAATGCAATTTTCCTTTCTTCTTATTGAAATAAATTCTAAAAAAAGATTTTTATGACGTCTTGACTTTTGCTACAATCTAAAAGCGTTCAAATGTAGTGTAAATTTTTAAAATAGCTTTCGGTACAACTATTTGCATCTGCACATTACACAAGTAGATAAGTGTATAAGGTTACTAACATACTACGAAGAAAATGTTAGAAAGTGAAAATCATAATATAGAAAGGCATTAACTTTTGTAGAAATTTATCGGTAAGTCAAAAACTATGTGGAAAAAGAAAATTTCTTCTCATATATTGTATTATACAACGTAAACATACGGAAAATATTTGTTTTTATAAAGCAATGATTTACGAACTTGATTATATCATCTGTAAAAAATAAAGATAAAAATGATTCAATACATTTCCTGTTTAGAAGCAGGTTTGCTAGAGGCATCATTTATAAAATAAAAAGAAACTAAGTGGAATGTGAATATTATTTACGACTTAAGGTTATCCAAGGGGTAGCTTTCCTCATATATTCATTTAAGTAATGTAAATAAGTAGATTAATCTAAGGTTGAGTAGAAGATTTCAATACACGATACATATTACCGAGAGAAAAAATGAGAACTATATATAGTAGGGTCACGATTAGAAATATACGACATTCGACCTGATAAAAAATAATCAACTCTATTTTAACTTTATAAATATATATAGGTAAGAAGAGAAGTGCTTGTTTGTATTAGCTCGTGTATAGTGACATATTGCAGAAGAAAAACTTCTTGTATTTATTTTTTCTACTTTGATTATAAATTCTTAGGGTGGAGTTATTCTAACCGACAGTCAGTTTTTTAGTATGAATTCAGTGTATATAGTAAATTCTGGTAAAACATGAAAATATTTCAAATATTTATTTCTGAAACTTTAATCTTTAAGATGGTATAAACAAATAAATCAAATGAAGGTATTTCGAACTTAAAGTTTGCTTATTTGTAAATAGAATTCATTGAAATTTTCCAGTTCAAAAAAATGTTTCCTTTACGAGATATTGAAACCTCGAAAAACATGAGCTTCTCTTATATTTCATGATATATGAGTTGATTTTAGTAAATGCAATATCTCATAAAGAAAACATTCTTTCAAACTGAATATTTCAGCAAACTCTATTTTACAAATAGGCGAAATTTCAATTCGAGATACGATCCTTCGATTTGTTTGTATATACTGACGTACAAGCGAAAATTTCAGTTAAATGACAATAACTTTTGATGGAAGGTGAAGGGATGAGCATCATATAACATTTTTCGGACTTTGCTAGAATCTACCATATAGATACAGAGTTCGAACTCAAAAAAGATTTCCTCGCTATTTGAACTAGATAAATTATCTAATGAGCTCTATACAATCATTCAATAATATTGCTCATTCATATTATGGTTGAGATATTTACACATAATTTCAACTCATTTGACAAATTTGTTTCATAGATATAAGTTTATGTAGAAAAGATTCAAAAATATTACTTGATATATTTTTTCTTGCACAACTATGTTCAAGTTTTTTTTTGTAGATAAAATATTCTATAGATCAATAGTTAAAAAATTGTCTAAATCGGAAGAGAAGATGTAAGTGTAAACATTACATTTTTATTTTTTATGTTAGGAAGACTATAACTACAGATTTACATCTATATGCTAAAAATATCTCTTATCGAATTTAAGAGTCGTCGAATAAAAATTTGCTATTCTTATCTTGGTTTTATTTAAAATAAAACTTCGACAAAATCGATCTTCATGAAACATAATTGTAATTTCCAAATACTGATTATACTTTGTAGTTAAACTTTATTTATATCTTTCTATTCTGTGTTATACGAAACTTCTAAGAGTATTGCACTCATTTTTCATATTGAGAAAAATTCATTTGTCTATAGTCTCTCGAAGATAATAGTATGTCGTTATTAGTTTTTTATAGCAATAGGTAAATAGATATTTATATATATATATATCCTACAGTCGTTATAGAAGATAATTAATTAAACTAATAATTAAAATTCTGAATAAACACCTTAAATGACAGAAAATAATAGCTTAAATACGATTGAAAGATACCAAACAGTATATGTTATGAAATTGAGTATGTATAACAAGAATATAAGAAAATAAGATTTCGAAAAAGTAAATAAAGTCTTTTGTTTGTTAACATAAACATATCTTTGGAGCAAATATCATTATGAAGTAATGATTGAAAAAATCATTGTTTCGAGTTTTAAAAACTGTACACGAGAGTTTTTCTTACATTTCTTCGATTTTTTTCTCACTAAGGTGAACTTTTCATCATTTAAACCTCTTTCTCTTGCTTTCTAAACATTTTCTTGACATTCCTGAAAAAAAAACTGCAGTGATTGGTACAACTGTTCAAAACAATTTCTTCTTTCCTTATCAAAAGAGCCTTACAGATTGTTTTTTGACACAAGAAAAAGCTTTATCTCTTATTTAACTTGAAAATGGTACTATATAGGAGTATTAAGGAATCTTACGTTGATCAATGATTTTTGGTGGGTGACTTTTAGGGTACCTTGTATAGATTAAGAAATGAATATTTCAACAACTGTGTTTATCAAAGTTGTTTGTTCACAATTGAATTTTTTTTGTCATAGAATATTTCAAGAAAAATCTATTCTATCATTATCTATATAAGGCTAGTGGAAGTTTCAGTATGACTTAAGTTTTTCTTTTCTATAGAATACCTGATATTTTATATGAATATTATTGGAATAAATTATCTGTTAGTTTTTTTTATAGAATTATTTGATTTACCATATATTATTCGCATATATTACAGTCATTTCAGATACAAATAAATAAACTTTATTTTGCTATCATGATCGTCAAACGATTTTTGGAAATCATTATTCTGACTTTCTCTTCAGTCAGTTTTCTTGTTTCTCTTATAACTCTTATATTAATTTTCATTCGTATTCGTCTATGGATGAGAAATGTGTCAATTCTTCTTACATGTAATACTTATATTACATTGATCGGGTCTAGTTTTATGACAGTTGTGGTAATGGCTTATGGCATGTATGATGATCTTCAACCATCGATTTCTTTCGATGATTATTATTGTCAATTACGTTCTTATGTAAATTATGTTTTTATTTGTGCTTTTTATTATTCATGTTTGTTACAAGCAATGTTTCGTTTATGTCGCGTTGTTTTTCAAAAACGAAAAATTTTACAATCACGAACTGTTTTCACAATAGCAATGATTATACAATGGCTTGTATCAATTGTTTATATACTTGCATATCTTCTTTTAAATGATTTTCAATATCATCCGGATATAAGTAGTTGTTGGCTTTCTTTTAAAAATATTTGTGGACTTTCAATTGCTATGGTATTCGTATATGGTAGTCCTCTAACTATAATGACTTTAATATATGTTTGTATAGTTCGATTTATTCGTCACACAGTTCAAACTCAACAAATACGAAATAATGCAAATAAACGAGATTTACTTGTTGTTAAACGCATTATTATTCTTGTTTTTATTGCTATGACAATAGGTATACCAACATTATTAATTTTTATTGTCTACATGATAACTAATTATTTAACTCCATTAGCTTATCATATTCAAGCATTAAGTTTAACATGGGGTCTTGTTGCTGCATCGATTGCTATGGGATTTATAACACCACAAGTACGAGAAATTTTTAAAATGAATCGACATATTAATCCTACAACACCTATGGAAATTGCTCTAGAACGAAAAGAAACAACTTTTTAAAATACATAATACTTCAACCCGATCAGTGTTTTAATCTTGTAAAAATCGAAATGTATTGTCTATATGTATCTAGAAACATACTTTTAAAATAAATATAAAACCAAATGATATATATATTTAATTATAAAAAAAAAGTAGAATCATGAACATGACAAGTAAACAAATTTCTTTCAATGTGGAATCTTTCCACAATGAAATATATTTTTATTATTTTCTATCTACTAGTTTTCATTGTATTTTGTTTTTCTGTGGAACTCACGTATATTTTCGAATAAGATAATAGTAAGTGAAGGTTTAAGTTGATGTTTTTGCGGCTTTCCTTATCAACCTAGACGTTACAAATGATTGGATAAGACGTAGAAAAGCAATTTAAAAAACCTCTTTTCGAGAAAATTTTTTTCAACCTTTCTTCCAAGCTCGAAGAACCTACGCTTTTTCGAAGCCTACTTTACGGTCCAGAAATTCTTGCGCGAAGCAGACTTAGAGGCAATCAAGAGAAGAATGTTCTGATAGAATTTGGAAAAGTTTGCAGATTGGATTACTCATTCATTTTACCGGACTAGTCCTTCGGACGACACTATAAAAAAAAACATTACTTCTTTTCTCAGAAGTTAAGCGTGCCAATTAAAAAGTTGAACAGTTTAATTTTGTTATATATCAATTTTCAGGCTAATGTTTTGTCAACTGATTTGCCAGTTTCTTTGATGGTTATAACAGATTAATTTACAACATAAGATAGACTATATTTCAAAATATATATTTGAATTTTGAAAAACTTCGATTTTCGTTTTGTCCACCTAAATGCGTATTGTAGTCTTATTATAGGCGTTAGCAACCGGAATAACAACATTAATACTACAATTTAGATGATTCAAAAACATTCCTTAAAATCAAAATAACTGGAATACATAAACGATAATATGATAGATATTAAGCATGATGTTTTGGTTTTTTATAACTATCGTATGATCAACATAAAAGCAATAAATTATGAAAATAAAATAAAACGAAACAGAAAATAAAATTTAAATTCGAAATTTAGAAATTAAAAAGATAGAGCGTTTGTTGGCAATCGATTATGATTGGAAAAGCATTACCCTCTTTTAGAGATTTTACACTTATGCATATCTTATATTAGTATAATAAAGTTAAATAAGACATGTGAGTTTCACATTTCAATTCCTAAGGGCGGCACTAACAAACTTCTTTAAAATCAATACAATCAATCTGTTAATATTTTCCATCCTATTAATAATTTATATAATATGTTAAATATTATATACCTTTACTATAAAATAAACGAAAAATTTTCACTTATAATTGTTGTTTTTTTCCTATAAAATGACATTGCACAAAATCAAACATTGTTCTATGCTAAATAATAGATATTTGTTTTCATATGAATTGAGATTATTATTTTAAAGCATTAGTGCTGTAACGCCTACATTGATTATATACTATAATAGGTAAAATTTATTGGTTTTTATCATCCGACAACATATGCTTCTGTTCTCAAAAGCATAACAATATAGATTAAAGCGTTTTTTTTCTTCATCAGCACAAATATTTTTTTAAAAATATTATTCGATTATCATCATGCGTTTAATAATCGTCGTTTGCTTGTTATTTGTTACCGCTACTCAAGTAAATTTTTTTTCATTAATTTTGAAATTTTTCATTGGTTTAAACACAGATAAATGGTCAAGATATTAGTGGTATAACATCAGGTCTTTTTAACGATCTTCTTGGTTCGGTTGTATCACAATGGGGTAATATGTCATCAACGGATCTAGCTACATTCATCGAGAAATTTACTAAACCAGGTTTACAAAAAAGAAGATCTTTACAATTTTATTAATTCATTTTTCTTTTTAATTTAGGCGGTTTAAATCATATATGGAATGCAGTTGATTCTCATTGCAGTTCACATTTTGATTGTGGCCCAGATGCATGCTGCCTTAAGCCAACCTATCATGGAAAGCGTGGTTTTACTGATGGAAGTAATGTTTGTTTAAATGAAAAACAAAAACAATATTTTAGTTTCTTTTTTTAAGTCAATTTACACATGTCAAGTTATTGTTCACCTTTAAAAAAAGGAGGCCAAACGTGTTCACTCTATCATAGTGGTGAAACAGCATCAACCTTTAGTTGTCCATGCGCAAAAGGATTCAAATGTGTTGGTGGTCGTCCAATTTCAATTCACCAATTGATCACTGTTTATAAAGATCCTATTTGCCAAATTGCTTAAAATATAATAAACGATGATAAAATAAAATACAAGTGTACTATGATCGTTTGTTTCTCTCTTCTTTTTTCTTATTATTATCATCGATAAGACAAATTAAATTATTCGAATAAGAATCTTTATTTCTTATTATTTCATTAAAAACTATTTAGAGAATAATTAATTGTTCTATTTCTGATTAAAAAAACTCATCCTAGAATACTTTTGGTAATCAAAAAAATCAATTTTGTGTATACTAGAACTTAACTGCACTAAATTTGAAAAACTGACTAAAATAAATTTTTATATATCGATTAATGCACAGACTTATTAATATTAATAACTAAACTAGTGATTTTTCGATAAAATTTTTTGTATGTAAGTCTATCTCAAAATCCAATACAGCACAATTTCATAGGTCAAATATTTTGCTGTGTCCTCTAAACATGTAAATTTATTTATATAATATTCAAAGACTCTTAATATAATTGTACAAAGCCTTGATAATTTATTTTCGTTAGTACATAATTGATTTCAATTTCTAAATAATTATATGTATACGTATATGTCTCCTCA